CTCCAGTCAAGAGGAATTGCCAACTAGAGTCTCCACAATACTTGACTTTCAGGAATATCAGTTTCCTGAATTCTTCACAGAGCTCATTGGTTCTTCTTTCTGAACCACTGTGGAGGACAGAGGAAAATGACACCCCCGCAAGTGTCAGTTTCAGCACACACCTCAGCCAGGAATTTCTCTAGACTGGAATGGCATTCCATAGCATAGGAAGCAGGAGTGATAAGTATACATCTTTTTTCTACAAGGGCAGATTGGAGGACTTTTAGATTGGTGACAAGGTCACTTAAAGACTGAAAATGATGGTTTTAGCACAGCTGAAGTATGCTGGAATGCTGATTGTTACCTGAAATTGCTCTCGAATGAATGCAATCGAATTAATCTAACAATAAAAAGTAAAAAATGGTGGTTTTCATCACAGCAAATATATTAAATACTTTGGATGGCATTTAAGCAAATGAATGACATTGAACAGGGCCTGCATAAGCATGACGCAGGTTTGCATAATGTCATTCATAATGCAGCGCCTATAAAAACTATTCACCCCCTTGGATGTTTTTGTGTTTTATTGTCATAGAACATTGAATTACAATAGATTTCATTTTTTTTATACTGAACAACAGAAATATACAGTACTTTAAATTTAAAACATTTGTTTGTCAAGAGATTTCAATGAATTACAATGAAATAACACAAAATAACTGACTGTATAAAAATACACCTCCTTCAAGGCAGTATTTAGTAGATGCACCTTTGGTAGTAATTGCAAACTTGAATTTCTAAGAATTTTCCTATTATTAGATTTGTACATCTGGAAACTACAATTTTTTCCCATTCTTTTTCTCAAAACTGTTGCAGCTCTGTCAGGTTGCAAGGGGATCATGAGTGAATAGCCTTTTTCCAAGTTCAGCTACCAATTTTCTTTTGGATTGACCTCGGGACCCCGTTTTTAAGTATTTAGCACTGTTGTTTTTAAGCCATTCTTGTGTAGCTTTGACTTTCTGCTTGGGGTCATTGTCTTACAGGAAGACACATCTTCTCCAAAGGTGCAGGTTTCTTGGAGACTGTATAAGTTTGTTCAGTTGTTTTTTTACATTATGATTAACTTAAATAATTTACTGTAAATTATGAAATCTTAAATGCAGTCTTTAAAGGAAGTTAAACATGAAAAATTCCAAGTTTTTATGTGTATGCTCAGGAGTCATTGGCCATTACAGTTTGGCCTAATATTCCAAAATAATCAGGCAAATAAAAAAAATACTACAAGAAAAAGTCGTCCTATTTTTTCTCTCTTTCTTCCTAATTAAAGCTTTAGACTTATACAGCAGCAGACCTTGTCGCCCCCATGAAAAGCATCTGATAATGAGAGACATTTGACAGGTAGTGAGGTGGCAACATGTCACCTCTTCACTGCCTGTTTTAACCCTGTAAATCATGTGTCAAACACAAGGCCAGTGGGACGAATCTGGCCTTCCAGGCCATTGCATGTTGTCCTTGCACCACTCCTGCAGCTGTGGTACCCCCCTCATCTTCACCCCCACCTTGTCTCAGCAGTCAGCAGCAGAAAGGAAAACAGATCCCCTCTGTCAGATCCTACGCTTTCTCCATGCAGCCACAGAGAGGTTTGTCTCTTCCCTCCTTTGTCTCAGCAGTTGGTAGCAGAGAGGAGGACAGAACTCATCCTATAGGTCCTGTGCAATCGGTAGCACCTGCTTGCTTCCGCCTCCCCTGGTCTCAGCTTTTAGCAGACTCCGGCAGCTGAGAGAAGCCCTCCTCTGGTCCTCCTCCAGACCCTGACACATTCTGCTTTCCAGCTCTGCCCCCAGCTTTCTTGGGGGGGGGGGGGGGGTGCATTGTGATGTATACTGTACAACAGGGAGAGATCCTCCTTTTTATGCAATTTTGAGAGCAACAATGGAAAACCACTAATTCTTTTAATTACATGCTTGGGAGATGCCTTAAACTGTATGTGGTGTTACAGAACTGTACAATTCTCATGGACAGTACCAGCAGCATGGTATTCTTGCATCACATATTTTGTATGTGTAATTGATTTGTTTACTTTTAAAATATTGCTTAAATACAGCAGCAGCATTCCAACAACTTGAAAGAAAGAGCTTTTTAGGTAGTTTTGGCTTTGAAACATGATTTTATTTTATCCATAAGTAAAAGTCTTAAATTGAATGGTAAAAGGAGGAGCCAAACAAATTCTAATAGCTATAGGGCAGTTGGACTCCAGGGCTCTGTAAATAAATAAAGCTAAAGGCCCTAACTTTGTACAAATTGGCCAGTGGCAACAAGGGTTATTAGTAGAGTTTGTGAGATTCTTTTTTTCACAGTAGCTCACTTATGTCACTGATTTAAATTGTAATAACATTACTACTGCAATGCTCTACTCACTGGTGTACCACAATCCACTATTAATCAACAACAATACAAAACTACTGTACAAAATTCTGCTGCTAGAATCCTGACTAGGTCTTGTACATTTGATCATATTACGCCTATCCTGGAGTCCTTGCACTAGCTTCCTGTCAGGTTTTGCATAGACTTTAAGATCCTCTTACTCACCTATAAGGATCTCTTATCTGTCTAAACTTTTATCTGCTTACTCCCTCCCTTGCAACATCCGGTCCGCAAATTCTGGTCTTCTGTGTGTCCCTCCCTACTCACCTACTATATATATATATAATATATATATATATATATATATATACACACACATGTGTGTGTGTAAGTATTGTGATGCCTTCCTTTATACGCACATGAACTTTAGTAGCATCCCAGTCTCAGTCTCTAGGGTTCAATACTGAGTTGGCCCACCCGTTGCAGCTATAACAGCTTCAACTCTTCTGGGAAGACTGCCCACAAGGTTTCAGAGTGTGTCTATGGAAACGTTTGGCCATTCTTCCAGAAGCGCATTTGTGAGGTCAGGCACTGATGTCGGACGAGAAAGCCTGGCTCGCAGTCTCCGCTGTAATTCATCCTAAAGATTTTCTATCGGGTTGAGGTCAGGACTCTGTGCAGGACAGTCAAGTTCCTCCACCCCAAATCCACTCATTCATGTCTTTATGGACCTTGCTTTTGTGAACTAGTGTGCAGTCATGTTGGAACAGGAAGGGGCCAGTCTGCATGTCTAGGTGCTTGATTTTTTTACAAAAGCAGACAAGGGCGCACTCTCATCATGCATTACCGTGGTACACCCCCTTCCCTTTTATCTCCCGAAACGCGTCAACTTATCCCTTTTAAGGGTACAGCATTGTATTGACTTTGACTGTTACTGCGGACCACATATTCTGCTTTTAATTTCCGTTGGTTTGTGAGTATACATCCATTTGTCTATAAATAAAAACGTGGTATACCACGGTAATGCACGATGAGAATGCGCTTTTTGTTCTGCTTTTGTTCACTAGTGTCCAGATTTCCCGATCTTCGAAGGGCAGCACCTCTCCGTTTGGCATTCTGAATTTTTTTTGTAGCCTGCATGAAGATTTGAGCGCTGGTTCGTTTGGCTTGATTTTTTACACCTGTGGCCATGGAGGTGATTGGAACACCTGAATTCAATGACTCGAAGGGGTGTCCCAATATAGTGAATATATATATATATCTCCAGATGCTTTCGGCAACAATATTAAACTATTAAACATGGGATACATTGCTTAGTCCCTTCTGGTATGGATTTAGTGGCAACTTTTCCTGGACCTGGGGTTTGAGACTTTGTCTCTCTCTTTTACTACTTCCTTGCTCTGGGGGTGTACAAGCCATCCCACAGGGACAGTGATGCACATAATAACTCTGAAATAATTCTGTAGCACAGCTACTTACAAAAAACAGACAGTAGAGGGCAGATCCCCACATCTGCATTGCATCTCTATTTTTTGAGGTTATTATGCTACTCCAGCAATGTCAAGGTTACACACCGAGGGGTTCATGTATAAAAGGTTTGCTGAGTAAATGTGACAAACAGTCATATTCTGTGTAGTATCTCAGTCAGGATTAAAATGCATAATGACCACTAGATGACACTTACGATCATAGAAGATATTATCACACAGAATATATTACACAGATTCCGGCACTTTTTTGGAGCTGTATGGATGTTTACCACATTCATTCAACAAACCTTTTAAATGTAGACCCCCTGATGATTCTGCAGCTGTTCTACAGTTTTAAACCTTATAGTACTTGGTGCAAGTTAAATCAGACTCTTTGCTTGCAATTTTTAAACCTATTCTTGCGTTCCATTAATCCAGAATATTTGTGGCTATTGACTCTCTGACATAGTTTACCAGTGTTTTTTGTTTCTTAAACCTTCCCATTCCCTCCACAATAAAAAATTCCTACCATACTGTGCATGGAGTCTGGAAAATGGTTTGCTGACGTGTTTCTTGTTAAATAATAAAATCTGATCTTGATGTTATGGTTTCAAGCTGCCTGGTGTCTCTTCTGTACCAAGTATAAATTATTTTTTCTGGAGAAAAAAAAAAAAAAACACTGTAAGACTTATTTTTCTTTTTAAATAAAACTGACTGCGGGCCCCTCTTTTTCAAAGTAAAACCTAGCTAAATAGCTTAAATAATGCCTATGGAGTTATTCAATTATTTATTGCTTTTCCATATGAAATATATATATATTTATATGTGGATTTTTGGCTTGTAAATGGCCTGTAAATGACATTCAGTCTGTTATTTCCAAAATGTAGACTAAAAGATGTTTGCAACATTGCTGTGTCTAAGCAGTATGTACAATATTCCTTTTTTTTTAAAGTGAAAAATAAACATTTTATTATACTATGTGTCCTCAAAAGCTGTCTGAGATGTGTTTTTATCAAATGATGCTTCCCAGCAATTTTTTTAAAATTAGGTCATGTGGTCAGTGCGTAATATAGTTCTTCATTTTACTGATAAAAATACACTTTACTTTTTTGGACATACCAAACCCAAATGTAAATGTGCTTTAACCAATGTAGTTTGTAGTCTAAAAGAAATTGTAGAATAATTGTATATGCTGAGTGTTTTTATCTTACTTCTATTGGAATCTAAAAAAAAAAAATGTATTATTTTGGATTCCTCCAAAGATAAATGGGGATATGGTTTAGTTTGTGGTCTCTAAAAAAGAAGAAATACTACACATGCTGCTTGTGGCATATTGCTTCTGTTGGAATTTGAGAATTATATATATTTTTCTGGGTACTCACAAGATAAGTGTGTATGTGGTTTAACCAATTAGGTCTAAAATAAATAGAATAAATATGACATATTCTGTGTGAACCATATCACTCTTATTGTAATGTAAAAAAAAAACCCATTATATAGTGTGAGAAATATTATTTATTGTATATATTTGTCCTGAATGGTGATATTAAGCCTCAAAATGCAAACTTGTATATAGCATCTTGCCATTTCTTAGACATGGCTGCATTTTTTTTAGGCTTGCTTTCCTTTATTTCACCTGGTGATCCAGCAAGTAAATTAAAGGTTTTAAGTTTTTCAGTCAAGTCTATCTAAGTCTGTTTGTGCAGCTAACACTACCCTTTCCTCAGTTTGACAAGGCTGCAACAATGCTGTCCAAAGGTATATCCATTGATTCTCCATCTAATGTGGAGACACCCTGCTCGTGTGTCAATATGTCAATACCTTGTGTTTTTCAGCATGTATTCAGTATTTTTAAAGCCTCCTTATTGTCCTTTAATGACCACCATGAATATTACAATGTTATCACACAGTGCTGTTCACACAGGGGCAGTTGTGTTGTGTCGTGCTAAAAATTAAGCAGCATCTCACTTTCATGAGGAATCGATGCTTGTAAGCCGCCTCCATTGATTTCAATGTTAATGCTCTATAACCACACCTTAACAGTACCTAGAGCATTTATGGTGTGCTAGTGAACCATTTATAAAGTGCTATGGGCACTGGGGGTGAGGCAGTGGAGGCTCTGGTTGATTGTGCGACAGATAAAGTTATACTCTAATAATGCAGTTTCTCCTTTAAAACCACATAATGCTTTCACTGTTAACTTGAATAGTCTCCATGTGCACTTCCATATGTAAAAAGGCACTGCAGTCTCATTAAAACACAATATGACAATATAGAGTTGAGTCTGAGTGAAATCCAGAATAGGTTGCTTACTTGCCCAGAGATGGAGGTGGCATGCCAGTGATGCGGTGACTGGCACTTGAAGATGGTAAGGCATGCCGGTGATGTTGTACCCGGGAATGGCAGCTCCTGTGGTGGGATGATCAAGGCACCCACGTCAGAAGCTGCTGGAGCAAGGGAGCATGGACCAGTGCATGGCTTGTCACCAGAAGTGACACACCGGATGTGATGTCATCAAATCTGGCAAACCACTCACCGGAAACCATGCAGTGCTGGAGCACAAGCTTGCCCACCTATAGAAAAGGATTAAGCTGTTGTCATGACATTTCAGACGTGGCGCTTTATCATGTCATGTGAATACAATAGCATGGGAAGAATAAATAGGGGCTGGTTGAGGGTCAATTTAGCTATTAAAGGCGCACTATGACATTTTATAGGACTGCAGCACTGGCACACCCTATTCACATGTAGATAAAATAAAACAACATGATGCAATACCAAATTAATATTAAAGGGCAGAAACCATAAAACACCACATCACCAGACTCAAAACAAAAGAAAAAAATGATAAAATTAAAAATAAGCAAAAAAACAGTAGAAATAATCAACAATATATACCGTATTTTTCGCTCCATAAGACGCACCTGACCATAAGACGCACCTAGGTTTTAGAGGTGAAAAACAAGAAAAAAAAAATATTCTGAACCAATGGACTGCAGACATAGTACAGGGGATGACCAGAGACTGCGGACACAGTACAGGAGATGACCAGAGACTGCAGACATAGTACAGGAGATGACCAGAGACTGCGGACAAAGTACAGGGGATGACCAAGAGACTGCGGACATAGTACAGGAGATGACCAGAGACTGCAGAAACAGTACAGGAGATGACCAGAGACTGCGGACACAGTACAGGAGATGACCAGAGACTGCGGACACAGTACAGGAGATGACCAGGGACTGCGGACACAGTGCAGGAGATGACCAGAGACTGCGGACATAGTACAGGAGATGACCAGAGACTGCGGACACAGTGCAGGAGATGACCAGAGACTGCGGACACAGTGCAGGGAATGACCAGAGACTGCGGACAGTGCAGGGGATGACCAGAGACTGCGGACAGTGCAGGGAATGACCAGAGACTGCGGACAGTGCAGGGAATGACCAGAGACTGCGGACAGTACAGGGAATGACCAGAGACTGCAGACAGTACAGGGGATGACCAGAGACTGCGGACACAGTACAGGGAATGACCAGAGACTGCAGACAGTACAGGAGATGACCAGAGACTGCGGACAGTACAGGGGATGACCAGAGACTGCGGACAGTGCAGGGAATGACCAGAGACTGCAGACAGTGCAGGGAATGACCAGAGACTGCGGACAGTGCAGGGAATGACCAGAGACTGCAGACAGTGAAGGGGATGACCAGAGACTGCTGACCTTTGGGGAGGGAGGGGGAGCGGGTACCTGAATTTGACAGGTACCCGCTCCCACTTCCGCGGAGTTGCCTTCCCTCTTCTTCCCGGGCCGGCTTCTGTGACAGCCGGGTGCCCACTGCGCAGGTGCAAGAAGCGCTTCGCTTTGTGAATGGCCCGGCGCCTTCTGTGACCTTTCATGTGTCCCAGAAGACACCGGATCATTCACAAAGCGCAGCACATGCGCAGTGGGCACCCGGCTGTCACAGAAGCCAGCGCGGGAAGACTGTGCAGCGCTGGAGCGAGGAACAGGTAAGGCCCTGCAGGAGAGAACAGCTGAGCGGCCGGGCCCGGTATTCTGACATGGTGGCGGCAGAAATACCGGACCGGCCGCTTTACATTCGCTCCATAAGACGCACTGACATTTTCCCCCCTTTTTGGGGGGGAAAAAAGTGCGTCTTATGGTGCGAAAAATACGGTAATAATAATAATAATAATAAATACAAATAAAATATAAATACAGTCAGGTCCATAAATATTGGGACATCGACACAATTCTAATATTTTTGGCTCTATACACCACCACAATGGATTTGAAATGAAACGAACAAAATGTGCTTTAACTGCAGACTGTCAGCTTTAATTTGAGGGTATTTACATCCAAATCAGGTGAACGGTGTAGGAATTACAAAAGTTTGCATATGTGCCTCCCACTTGTTAAGGGACCAAAAGGGACAGAATAATAATCATAAATCAAACTTTCACTTTTTAATACTTGGTTGCAAAATCCTTTGCAGTCAATTACAGCCTGAAGTCTGGAACGCATAGACATCACCAGACGCTGGGTTTCATCCCTGGTGATGCTCTGCCAGGCCTCTACTGCAACTGTCTTCAGTTCCTGCTTGTTCTTGGGGCATTTTCCCTTCAGTTTTGTCTTCAGCAAGTGAAATGCATGCTCAATCGGATTCAGGTCAGGTGATTGACTTGGCCATTGCATAACATTCCACTTCTTTCCCTTAAAAAACTCTGGTTGCTTTTGCAGTCTGCTTTGGGTCATTGTCCATCTGCACTGTGAAGCGGCATCCTATGAGTTCTGAAGCATTTGGCTGAATATGAGCAGATAATATTCCCTGAAACACTTCAGAATTCATCCTGCTGCTTTTGTCAGCAGTCACATCATCAATAAATACAAGAGAACCAGTTCCATTGGCAGCCATACATTCCCACGCCATGACACTACCACCACCATGCTTCACTGATGAGGTGGTATGCTTAGGATCATGAGCAGTTCCTTTCCTTCTCCATACTCTTCTCTTCCCATCACTCTGGTACAAGTTGATCTTGGTCTCATCTGTCCATAGGATGTTGTTCCAGAACTGTGAAGGCTTTTTTAGATGTCGTTTGGGAAACTCTAATCTGGCCTTCCTGTTTTTGAGGCTCACCAATGGTTTACATCTTGTGGTGAACCCTCTGTATTCACTCTGGTGAAGTCTTCTCTTGATTGTTGACTTTGACACACATACACCTACCTCCTGGAGAGTGTTCTTGATCTGGTAAACTGTTGTGAAGGGTGTTTTCTTCACCAGGGAAAGAATTCTTTGGTCATCCACCACAGTTGTTTTCCGTGGTCTTCTGGGTCTTTTGGTGTTGCTGAGCTCACCGGTGCGTTCCTTCTTTTTAAGAATGTTCCAAACAGTTGTTTTGGCCACGCCTAATGTTTTTGCTATCTCTCAGATGGGTTTGTTTTGTATTTTTCAGCCTAATGATGGCTTGCTTCACTGATAGTGACAGCTCTTTGGATCTCATCTTGAGAGTTGACAGCAACAGATTCCAAATGCAAATAGCACACTTGAAATGAACTCTGGACCTTTTATCTGCTCATTGTAATTGGGATAATGAGGGAATAACACACACCTGGCCATGGAACATGGAACAGAAGCCAATTGTCCCATTACTTTTGGTCTCTTAACAAGTGGGAGGCACATATGCAAACTGTTGTAATTCCTACACCGTTTACCTGATTTGGATGTAAATACCCTCAAATTAAAGCTGACAGTCTGCAGATAAAGCACATCTTGTTTGTTTCATTTCAAATCCATTGTGGTGGTGTATAGAGCCAAAAATGTTAGAATTGTGTCGATGTCCCAATATTTATGGACCTGACTGTATATACTGTTATCCATATCTAGTATGGCAACCTGGAAAATGTTCTTAATATACAAAAAACTGTTTTCCTATATATTATACGTTTATATTTTTTTAGTCAGATCAACAGATATTCTAAATACATCAATCATATATATTTTCACAAAAAAATGTGATTGAAAATAATTCAAACAAATTGAAAAATTATTTCCCAACCAAAGGCAGAGATATATATCAATACAATTATTTTAAGGGGCAGAAATTACCCACCTACAAAATACATACTAGTGAAAATTATTACTTGATCATCCTATGGGGTGATACACACTGGAGTTAAAATTGACTGGCCTAATAACTGTAAGTGGAATTCTAACAAGACTGGCAGCAAAAATAAAACAACAGCAAAAAAATAATAAGTAAAAAAAAATAATGATAAAAACCCAACAGGGGCTCTAAATTTAAGTGACTTAAATAACACTATGCACTTCTAGCTCCTCATTCAATCCATTGGGAGACGTTTATATATCCAGAAGGTCTCCCTTTTGCACAACACAGAACATCTCTTTTTGGCATTCAGGGACCCTCTGGATATACACTCAATGGCCATCATACTTAACCACTTACGAACCTGAGGATTCACCCCCCTTCATGACCAGGCCTCTTTTTGCTATTCGGTGCTGCACTATTTCAACTGATAATTGTGCGGTCATGCAATGCTGTACTCCTACAAAATTTATGTCTTTTTTCACACAAATAGAGCTTTCTTTCGGTGGTATTTGATCACCAGTGTGCTTTTTATTTTTCGCGCTATAAACAAAAAAAATGGAAATTTTGAAGAAAAACTATATTTTTTACTTTCGGCTATAAAAAATATATAGTAAACTCAAAGTTAGTTATAAATTTAGGCCAAAATGTATTCTGCTACATGTTTTTGGTAACAAAAATCCCAATAAGTGTATATTGATTGCTTTGTGTGAAAGTTATAGCGTCTACACACTATGGTATAGATACTGAAATTTACGCCATTTTTTGCTATACAGCGCTGCACTAGTTTAACTGACAATTGTGCGGTCATGCAATATGGTACATAAATGAAATTTACGTCCTATTTTTCATACAAATCGAGATTTCTTTTGGTGGTATTTGATCACCTGTGTGCTTATTATTTTGCAATTTTGGCGCTCTAAACAAAAAAAGACAGAACATTTTTAAACAAACCCGATATTTCCTAATTTCTGTCATAAAAAAATATCCAAAAACTGTAAATTTCATGATAAATTTAGGCCAAAATGTATTCTGCTACATGTTTTTGGTTAAAAAAATTCCAATAAATGTATATTGATTGCTTTGTGTGAAAGTCATAGCATCTACAAACTATGGTATAAATAATGGATTTTACACAGCTTTTACTTTCTGACTGCCTACCTTGAGGTTCTAAAATACCAGAAGAGTACAAACACCCCCAAATGACCTCTTTTCGGAAAGTAGACACCCTAAGCTATCTGCTGAGAGGCATATTGAGTCCATGGAAGATTTATTTTTATTCCACAAGTTTTTGGAATATGACAAAAACATTTTTTTAATACACAGAGTTATATATTTCTCGCGCAAGCCATGGGTATATGTGGAATTACACCCCAAAATACATTCTGCTACTTCTACCGAGTATGAGGATACCACATGTGTGAGACTTTTTGGGAGCCTAGCTACATACAGGAGCCTGAAATACAATGACCACTTTGAAAGCCTGAAGGTGCATAACTTCCTCATTTCACTTCTTCACTACCTATCACAGTTTTGGAGGCCTTGATATGCCAGGATAGCCCCCCCCAAATGACCCCCTTTTTGGAAAGTAGATACCCCAAGAATTTAAAAAAAGGCAAAGTAGTTTGCAGATCTCATTTTTTCTTACAAGGTTTTGAAATATAAAAATAGAAAAGAAAAAATATGTTTTTGTTTTCTTTCTTCGTTTTCCAAAAACTTGTGGCAACAATCGAGATCTGCAAAATACTCACCATGCTTCTTATCAAATTCCTTGGAGTGTCTTCATTCCAAAACGGGGTTATTTAGGGGGGTTTGGTGCTATCCTGGCATTTCAGGGCCTCCGAAACTGTGATAGGTAGTCAGGAAGTGTAATGAGGAAATAAAGCCCTTTAAAAGCCTGAAGGTGCTCATTGGATTTTGGGGTTCTGTACTTGTCTAGACTGCCAAAAAGTCTCTCACATGTGGTACCCCCATAGTTGGCAGAATGTATTTTGGGCAGTAATTCCACATATACCCAAGCCATGTGTGAGCAATTAATCATTTAAGTGACAATCTTGTGTAAAAAAAAAAAAAAAATT